GGGGGGAGGAGACAATGCTCCAATCTATTCGTGGGGTGCCGCACGTTTGGAACATGAAACACATTTGAGTGCACATACAGAAAAAAAATTGAGATACGGGGACTTCAACCCCGCTTTGTCTAAAGAATAATTTCGTGAGCAATTACATAGCCTATTCGCTGAAGAAACCCAGAAGATAGGCTAAAATTATGAGAAAGTCTGAATCTGTTCAAAACTCAGAATGCTGCACATTTTCCCCTCCATCAATGGCGTGCAATAATCCAACTCTGTCACACGTGATTGAAAACCGTACGTACACGGTATAATACGGCGCTAGTGGGTCCTGGCCCCAGGGGCCTCGTCCCGCTACCGTAGTAGCAGTGAATAGCCCGAACTCGATCAACTGTGGCAAGGAACGCGGTTGATGCACGTGAATAGCCAGGAACGCCGTTGATGCATGTGAATAGCCAAGAACGCCGTTGATGCACGTGAATAGCCAGGAACGCCGTTGATGCACGTGAATAGCCTGGAACGTCGTTGATGCACGTGAATAGCATGTGATACGCAACCTCACGCCCCGTCACGATCTCGCGTACGGGGTCGCTGATCAGAGTTCTAGAAGGGGCGTGGCTGAGGATTTTTTGGCCGTAAGGGTTGAGTCTCCCGGACGGAACGGGAGGCCCTCGTTTCGTGCCAGAGGTTTTCCCCAGAGTCAAACTGTCCTCGCGAAGTCCCGTGGGGGTCGGATCACTCCGAAACGACAAAATCAGAAGGTTTTCCGCGAAAATGAATTGTCGTCGTGCATCAGGACAGGAAAAGGCATCAAGGGGAGGGGGCCATCGCGGCGGACGACAGAAACTCCGGCCGTCATGGGTTCGGGGAATAGGTGGTGGGTTCGAAGCCTTCAGGCCTCGACATCGGACTCACAAAGTCCGCGCGGAAGTTCCCGAGAGGGCGAAACAGCGGGAGGACTCGCCGGCATCCGAATTCGAAATTGCGCGGGCAGCGCCCCCGTACTACAGGAAAGCTCGGGGAAACGTGTTGCTCCCTCGTAGCCCAGGACCAGCCGTTGCCAAGAACACGAGTCCCCCTGGCGACACCAGCGACAATCAAACTGCGGCCGCCACGCGGCGTGAGCGGCCAACCAGGGCAACACGGTCAAGCCCGTAAGGCAATATTAGAGTCGAGGAATCAAAACGCTCAATCAAGACAAACCCGTTCCCCCTTATATCACAAGCCCGAGGCGGGTCTCGCCAACACACTTGCTCCGTTTGCCTCAGCGCGCGCCGTACGTCCGCATCGCAGTAGACGTTGTCGTCATCTGTGATGGGGAAGGTCGGTAGCGAGATGAGACGATTGGAGGTAGGCGATGAACACGGGCAAGATCYCGCGCWCCCGGTCATCCGAACCAACATCGACTCCATACAACACTCGATGTAACCTTCTCTCTCTGGGTTAGTGMGTCGGAGGAAGACGRCGGAGCCAAAGCTCTCTTCCCCTTGTGGGGGCGTCGACCGCGCGCGCGGACGCAGGCGGTTGACGTYACCGGTAGGGGGTCGAGAAGCTCAAAAAGCGATGGCTATCAGTTCAAAAAGGAAAGCGAGAGAGAGAGGGAGAGAGAGAGAGAGTTTACATCGAGAATGCGCGGGCGCGCACGAAGGGCCGCAAAAGGGAGGGGAACAACGGGATTAACACACTCATACTCCTAAGCAGACGGTCCCCCAGTTTTGTTCCTCCGTCCCCGCCCGGATAAGTACATGCACACATACATGCAGGCAATCAACAACCCTCGGCATGACATCCAATCATCCATAGACCGCGCAACAAGCTCCCATCACTCGGGGCCTCACACACACGTCATGCATAGACAAAGCAGCAGTGGAGACATAAGCGAGTCCTTCTTGTACACAAAAATTCTCAATTAGCGGCCGCCCCCAGGCGCCACCTTCAAAACTTCCCAAGACCACCGACCACCATAGCCACAAGGCCCTGCCGCGGCCGGCGTCCAATCCCCACCACTGCTCAGTACCTCCGACTRCGTCGCCCCGASACTACCGCGGGCCCACCCCGCGTCGTCACTCCGCCCGTCCTTGGGCACGTCGAGCCTGTTCGGCGCYGYGGACTTCGCGCATAGCTCGCRCAGCATTGCASCCGAGATCAAAGAGAGAGAGAGGAGAGGGTTGCGCGAAKTTATAGCGCRGRAGGCGGCGGGTTGTCAGCGCGAGGTGCGGGCAGCGCARGTTGTAGATGAGYAGGACAGRAGGGAGGTGGGGAGTTAGAGGGTTCGACCCGCGGGATGGCATGGTCCTGCGTGATTGGGGTGTCCGTTCAAGTTGTGCGCGGTTTCCCGCTCTCCACATTGATCCGAGCATCCCAACTACGCGGCCAATCACTTCGCGGATTAAGGATCGAGCTGGGCGGGGGGGGAAGACGAAGAGTCCTGCATGGGGAAAACGCGCGCAGCAAGAAGGGAAGATGGCGCGGGGATGCAAAACAAGAAATGGGGGTGCGAGACGCTTGAAGAAGTCGGAGCTTAGGCGCGCGCGCAAAAATTCAAAAAAAAAGGTTCCAACCGAAACCGTTTCTTGCTTTTCTTACCGCGGCCGCTATTCGCCCGCGCGGGAGTTATTAACCAAACAAAATGAAAAAACCGTTTCAAAAAGAAAACAAAAGCAAAAAGAAAGAAAAACCTTTTTTTGTCCGTGTCCGTACTTTGGGGCTTCCGCGGGATTTTTCCTCAGGGATACGGCAAGCCGCGCGGTACGGATCTGAGCTTATCACATTTGTGATACGCAGGGGGTTCCGAAAAATTAGCAGTCTCCCGACTGCTGATGTCATCATATCTTGGATGATCGGGCGACGTCTTCATCGTCAGCTGGCCCGGTCATCTTCCTAATCTACGTGGATGCATACTGCATCCTCCATCGCCTCCTCCCATAGTATACATCCGATCGGGCGGCCCCTTCATCGTCAGCTGGCCCGATCGGTAAGTAGTTCTCAATTTTTTGTATTTTTTTATTATTATTATTTTTGTTACACAGCGCGTCTCGACGCGCGAACTTTGGAGATAGGAGAAGAAGACGATAAAGAGAAGGAGAAGGAGAGAACAGGGGAGAGGTAGACGGGGGTGATCAGAGAAAGTGATCTATGTCGGGATTGAGAGGGGGCGGAATAGGCGGAAGAAAAGCGGCCATTGCCGTGGGAGTCGTCGGTGCATCTTCCTCATGGAAGTGGTGCTGCACGAACGAAGGATAGAGGAAAGCCCCCGGCACATGAGACAGGACACGTGGCGCCAAATCCGCCACCGCTCGCACCACCCGCTTGCGCACCGATCGGGGCCGTGGACCCGTCATCACCACATGAGTCTCGGTGTAAGGACGCCGCTCCCGTTTCTGCGCCGCGAAGACGAGGAAGTGGTACATCGCATTGGGACGCTGCCCGGTGTCGTAGATGAGCGTCCCAGCCAGTCACGCCGCAATACACCCTTGAAAAGAGGGTGTCAGATATGGCTCCCATGCCCTATCAGGGCGCAGCGCCCCCGCGATGGCCTCGAGCCTGATGGTGGCGGGCTCCACCATGAAGTCCACCTCTGTCGGATGGACCGTCCGGCTCGGAGGAACTACTAATGTCAATGACCGGGGCATCCCGGGGTGGCTGGCGGGAACAGAGAGGTCCCGCGAGGACGGGGAGTCTGGATATGGGATCCGGAAATCCCATTCGGCTGCCTCCTCCGACTGCTGCTGCTGATGATGGCCCGGCTCCATCAAGATTGAGATCAGGCACACGCGAAAAGGGCGGCGATGGCACAACGGTCTCCTTAACGAGCGTCGCCGCACTCCCAGGCACGGGGTCAGGATTACACGTACGCGCGGGCTGAATCACCTCCTCGCCGCCGCCGATCCTGCTGCCTTGCGCTCCTGGTGACGGGTGGAGTCTCTTCCTCTTCGCCGTCTTCTTGGGGGCCTTTGTTGGCACCGGTCGAGGATACGACGAGGGAGGCCGCAACGACTTTTCCTCCGGGAAGTCCTCCAACCTATCCGCGCGCTGCGCAATGTAATCCAGGATGACGACAGTGTTGTACGTTCTCCGCGGGGCCGTCGCCGTCCGCAATCGTGGTTGGATCTCCTCCTCCTCGCTCGCAATCACTTGCGCAATGGAGAGGAGCTCAAGATGTATGATCTCCAACAATCCCGGATCGATCGTCTGGAGCTGGGCGAATGGGTACAGCGCCACCGTCCCTTCCTTCTCCGCTGGCTTGGGCCGTGTGATGACGTAGTAGACGACGAAGTGCTCCTCGATGCAATGGTCTTCGTGATCCACGAAGAACCGGAACATCCCCAGCACCACCGACTTGTACAGCGCACGGTGCAACTCCCACGCGTTTTCGTCGGTGAAGGGCAGCGGCTCCACGTCAGTCAGCTCCACCAAATACTCCGAGAACTCGCGCATGGGATAAGGGCCCTCCGTGAGCTGATAGGGGAGGGTGGTGTAAGAGAAGAAGGGAGGCATTTAGTATGGGATAGGGGGAATAGCTTGGAAGTTGAGAGGAGCAGCGGGAGGAAGAAGCGCGGGGAGCTGTGGCACCAACGCAATTGGTCCGTCCTCTGCCCTGCGCAGCAGCACTTCGTGGGCTGTGAATCGGTGTCCCCCCCGTCCTTGCAATCTGGCCACTGATCTGGCCGCTTCCACCGTGTATTCGCGCACAAATCTTCGCGTCGGCTCCCGATTCGGCTGCGGTAGGATCGTCAAGTCTCCGATAAAGGTGGCGACGCTGTGCACGAAGTTGGGTGCCATCTGGAGCGCGCGGAACTCAATGAATACTCGAGTCATCTCCCAGCCAGGCAACTGCGTCACGTCCACGTACACCCCCACATACATCAGCCGATCGCAAAGCAACGAGTACGCCGCCAAATCAGCAACCCCGGGTGCTGGCAAGTTCACCTGATGAATGTCGTACCGCAATTGCCTTTCCTCATTGAACCGATGCCGCAACAAGCGATCTGCAAGCGGCGTCTGGAAATGCTCGAGGGGCTCATGCTCCGGCTGGCGATGGTTCATCCTGCTCCCTGAAACTCTCAGCACCAATGGACGAGGCAGATTGGGAAGAGGAGGAGGATGAAGAAGGAGAGGGTGATCTCGCAGGAGCAGGGGTTCGTAGGGGACCTAGCGATGGCTGGAAGGGCCGGAGCGTGGCAGCGTGCCGTGTCAGCGGTCGGGCCTGGGATTTACGACGGGGAATCAGCTTCACGGAGTGCTGTCCCTGTGGGCCAACTTCCGTGACCTCGTAAATCCCTGTGTAGCGCTGGTGGATCTTGGAGGAGGGCGCAGATTTCCGTACCTGCACCAAGTCCCCAACTTTATAGCGGGCCAGTGGTCCTGCCAACGCGTGTCGATTCTCGTAGTCACGGATCTGCCGTTGATGTGTCCGATCTACGGCCTGCTGTCGACGGCGAGCTAACGGGGGATAGGCCCTAGCCATTAAGTCCATGTAGTGGCKGGCCTTRTCTCGRTTYTGGGCCCGTGTTGCTCTAACTTYCGTACCTACTAAGGGGGACAATTGCACCCGAGGGACACTATTGGTTCTCAGTTGAAAGGGGGACACCCCAGTACTACCGTGTGGGGTAGCCCGATAAACGGCCAGGGCCGGGTGTCTCCCGCAGTGATATTCCGTCTGAGGGCGGTCTTAATCAGCCAGTTGGCATTCTCTACCAGGCCATTGGCTTGAGGCCAATGCCCCGGCGAGTAGATAATCTTAACGTCCGCCCTGACTAGGTGACGTGTTACTTCGCCTTGAAATTCCGACCCATTGTCCATGTGTACCTCTTCTACGTCTAGATGCATGCACAAAAATCGATTTACGTACCAGGCTACTTCCTGCGAATTCCGGCTGGTCATAGGGTACGCCTCGATCCATTTCGAAAAATGATCGACGGCCACTAAAAGAACATTGAGCTCTCCCTGATCGACGGGACCTCTCGAAACGTTGATATCCATCGTGTCGATGCTAACCCTCTGAAAGGGGCGCTCTACACGAGTGGGCACCATCGTCCGAGGCATCTGTACCGGCGCCTTGTCCGCCGCGCAGGCCGGGCAATTCTGAACGGTGTATTTCACATCTTCCCGAATTCCCGACGAGTACCATCCGTTCTTTTCGATGGCTTTTTCCGTGTACTTGACTGCGAAATGGACCGCATCCTCTTCATGAGCGGCTCGTGTCCAATCGAACCTAGCGAAAGGGTGTGGAACCGTCAACCAGCTAGACCATCCGTCATCATCGACTTTTCGTTTTTGTAACGTCGGTCCCTGCCAGCGATAGTCCTGCGCCCGCTCCGTGACTCATCGCCGTTCGGCTTTGGTAAGTTCTGACAGCGAGTCGCCTGACAGCCTCCGTAGCAACAAAAGGTCCGTCCAGACTTCTGCCCGGCGGACACTTGGCGCAAATCCGTCGGCCGTTCGTGCATCTAGATACCGTTTCTCGGTAGGGACTTGGTCCGTTCTACAGTTGGGACAGACCCACGTCTTTTCACTTCGGTACCTAACGCATTGTCCGTGGGACTTGACCGCTTGACACCGACTACACTGCACCCACAAAAGAAAACTTAGCCCTCCCGGATGTGACCCTTCTTGGTCCGGGACCATAGGCAAGGTACAAAAAAAACAGGGACTCAAATGTGTTTCAGGGGACGAGTAGGGACTAGACGAGAGAGCGAGGGAGTTGGATGAGGGCAAAGAGATATCGTCTGCCATCTCCGACGAAACCTCCATTCCGGACTCAGGAGTCGTTCTTGCGCAGCACGTGTAGCTCCCCGTAGTGCGGTTTCGTCGTCGCAACTTCTGGCCTCCACGGAATGAGTCGCTCGTTGGCGGGACACTTGTTGGGCGGCAGGAGGCGCGTCAATCCATCAGCGTTACCATGCTGCCGCGTGGCACAGTGGCGGATGTCGAAGTCATAATCTTGCAGACGCAACGCCCACCTGCCCAACGTCCCCGTGTAGTCCGTGTTGTTGTGTAGGAACAGCAACGGCTGATGATCCGTTACCAGCACGAATTTCTGGCCGTAAAGATACGGTCGGAAATGCTGAATCCCCCACACCACCGCCAGGCATTCGCCTTTGCACGCTTTGTAATTAGCCTGCGCCTGGCTCAGCGTCTTGGACGCATACTCAATGACGTGTTCCCTTCTGTCCACCCCGTGTTGAGTCAGCACCGCCGATATCGCCTGCGGCTGCCAGTCGGTGTATAGTGCGAATGGTCTTGTCGGGTCGGGACGCGCCAACACAAGAGCAGATGTCAGAGCCTCCTTCAGCGCCTGAAACGCCGCTTCGCATTCCGGCGTCCAGATCAGCTGTTCCTCTTTCTTCAGCAGGTTCGTGAGGGGCTTCGCTATACCGGCGAACCCCTTGATGAAGCGTCGGTAATAGGATGCCAGCCCTAGAAAAGCCCGAACCTGGGTGAGTGTGACCGGCGCCGGGGCTTCTTGAACTGCTGCCACCTTCTTCGGATCTGGTTTTAGTCCATCGACCGTGACGATGTACCCCAAGAATGAGATCTCCGACAAGAAGAACTCGCTTTTCTCCAAGGCCACTTTGAACCCCGCATCTTTTAGTGCATGCAAAACCCACTCAATGTGTTCCACGTGGTACTCGTGTGTTTTTGAAAAGACCAAAATATCATCCATGTACACAATCATGCAGAAATTGATCAAGGGTTGGGTTAGTCGGGTTTTGTTAACGAACTCAGCGAAGGCCATATTCATGGCCCGCTGAAACGTTGCGGGGGCGTTACAAATTCCCATGGGACACCGGACCCATTGCCACGTGCCCTCAAATAGGACAAAAGCGGTTTTGGGTCGGTCCTCCGGTCGGACTGCGACATGGTGAAAACTGTGTCGGATATCGAACTTGGAAAAGACTCACGCGGCCCCGATAGCATCTAACAAATCGTCGATTCGCGGCAAGGGATACACATCTTTGGTAGTGATAACATTCAATTTCTGGTAGTCGATACATACCCGGACCGAACCATTTCGTTTTGGCACGAGGACCTCGGGAAAAGACCACGGTCCCAGCGATGGTTCGACCCACCCCAACCGCTCGAATTCCCGTACCCTTTCCAACGCCAGTTGTCTTTCTTTAAGGGAATATCGGTACGGTCGGCAATGTATCGGGGCGTGATCCCCGGTATCAATCGCGTGCTCTATCAAAGGGGTTAGCCCTATGTCGTGGTCATGAATACTGACGACCTCAGGATAGGCCCGTATAACCGCCAGGAGGAGGCGTCTATATTCATCCGGAACACGGGCTGGTAACTGAACTTCTACGGTTCCCCCAGGAAGGGAGACCGTCGTCGTAACCGTGGGGACCGCCGCACTGGCATCGGGCGAGGCCCGAAACAAAGAGTTGTCGATTTTCGCTGAAAGGACAGTCGCAATAAGTTGACTGTCCGCCGGACTCATCGGCTCACTTTCCATGTCACTATCACTGTCCAGTTCGGGTTCGGCCGAGGGTTCTACCGAAAAGGCCTGCGTCAGTTCCCTCGGTCCCCACCGATATTCCCTTGTTCGGGGTTAAAACGACACCTCCTCTTTCAGGAGTATCATGACTTTTTCATTCATGAGTAGGGGCCGTGGAGGTCGAAAAGATAAATCGCACAGCCCCCTAAGCTCGGTAAATCTTTCAGGTAGGGGGTCCGTCCTGAGATACAAGGACGCAGGGGGTTCCGAAAGGTCAGCTATTCGGGACACCCTCAGCAGGGGTTCCACCTGCACCACGGAGGAGAACACGTGCGACCAATTGGACTCACTCAGAACTATTTCCAGTGGTTCTCACCGCCAAGAATGGCGCCACCGATCCTGAACTCGGATCGGATATCGGTCGGGTACATCAGTCTCGTCTGTTTCCGTCGAGGGTTCATTTTCGTCTGGTGACAGGCGTCGGATCATGTTGATTTGATGGGCTTTCGTGGTGAGTCGAGGCGCCGGCTGGGTGCGCATGCGCACCGCCAGTCTCATTGGTATCGTTTGGGGTTTGGGGTGGGCCGATGTGAGCACCACCTTACAGCTGTCAAAGTGCATTYGCGCTCCGACCGCCGCCTGCCACGGAATGCCTAGCAGAACATCATACGCCTGTACATCCAGCACGATTACGTCRCACAAACAATGCACCCGCCCCACCCGTATAGGCWCGTTCGTTATTCGCCCTTTACAATGAATACTGTCTTCCGTAGCGGATATATACAGTTCATCCGGTCGGAGGGGCTGAACCTGTCCTTCCCTTCCCAACTGTTTCGTCAATCTCCAAGAAATGGCGACCGCTGACCATCCCGAGTCTAGGATGGCGGCCGAGGGATTTCCCCAAACCTCGCAGTCATACTCAATGCTTTTCCAGGTTATAGGATAGGCTCGGAGGAATACCTCGGGTTTTTTCGAGGCAGAGTCTATGGTCTGGATCATTCCTATCCGGTCGGCTTCGTGCACCTTTGAGGTCGAGGGCTGCGACTCCTCGTTTGTGGGTAGGTCCCGTAGGACCGACTTTTTGCCCTTTCGACTTTCCTCGAATCGGCGCCTGTTTTTGAGGCATCGTTCGATCAACTTTTCGTTAGCCGTTTTGGAAATGGTTAGCAGATAGGGAATAGGGACGGGGATCCAAAGATCCAGAGCCTTCAAGGCATCCAATACGTCGATATGGCCATCCTTGTATTCAGGACCAGGTGCCGCAAGGTCTTCGAACCCTGGTCGCCACGACCCGAGGTCGCTTTCCTCGGTAATCCGTTGGACGTGACGTATCACTCCGATGGTCTCGGGTTCGAACATCGCCACAGCCATGTATTCATCGGGCCCTATCTCGGTGGCCGCAGGGGTCACCATTTCCGTTGCCCCGATATCCATCACCGTGGCTACCCTCCCCTGTTCTGCAGCGGTTGGAGCAGCCAACGGCATTTGGGAAGGCCCAGCGGGCCCACCCTAAGTTCGAGGTTTCGGACAATCTTTCGCAAGGTGACCTGGCTGATTACAGTTATAACAGCGTAGGGGCGGGACAGCCCCGGCCACGACCGGTCTTATCATAGGGGCCCCGGCGGCCATAGCCGCTTGTTGCCGTTGTGCGGCGGCTAGGCGTTGCCGCTGCAGGCCCTGAACAAACTCCGTCAGCGGGGCCACTACCGTAACTAATTGGGCCGCGACCTCTTTCATGGACACTTCTTCCTCACCCCGGCCTCCTTGTGCTTGACTAGAGCGACGGGAGGTCGAAACAGAGGAAGAAGCTTTCCGATCCAAGCCCTTTTTTGCCGGACCCAACCCGAAGCGATCTTCGAACATTCGTGCCGTAGCGGAGTAGCTATTGCGTCGAACACCCAAAGGGTCATCTTCGTCGGATTCTGAGTCCAGGCCCACATCAGAATTTTCTTTCCCGTACTTAATTGCGTACCGAATTAGCTCCGTTAGGGTATGTTCTATAGGGTTTCATTTCTTGCGGATCTTTTTCCGCAGACGAGAATCTGACAATCCTCTGACGAAATCAGTCCGTACCATTTTCTCGTCTACCCCGGAGCGTTCAGCTAGGTACGTAAAACGTTCAGCATATCTAGCCAAGATGTCCCGAGGCTGCTGCGTGTATTCCTTTATTAGACGGAGGCATTGACCTGGTGCGATGTGATCAAATCTGTCGAGAAATTTCCTCTGGAAGGCTAGCCAATTAGTGAAGGGGTTATGTCCATACCACTCAAAAGCGGTTCCGACTAACCTTCCGGGGATTCGTTCTCGGAGCAACTGGTCCGACCAGCCCTGGGCTTTCAAGGCAGCTAGCCAGGTGCGAGGGTCGGTATCATCTTCGGAGAAAATGGGAACTTTGGAAGGAAGAGGTACAAAGTACAGGGGATGATTGGCCATCCCCGCATGGTTATCAACGTCGTTTTCACCCCCAATTCCGGGTTCTACCATCGCGGGAGGCGGGTTTCGAGCCCGGCCTCTCGCTCGGTTCTGATTGCTATTCGCGGGTCGCCGGCGACGGGAAGCCAGCCTACTCAAAAATGAGAAAAACATAAAAAAAAAAAAGATCAGAAAAAGGAAAACTCTTAAGCAGGGTATTCGTCCTAGGAAAACCTCGGAGCCGAAACGAATCAGCTCTGATACCAACCTCACGCCCCCTCGTGATGTCCCGTACGGGGTCGCTGATTAGAGTTCTAGGAGGGGCGTGGCCGAGGATTTTTGGCCGTAAGGGTTGAGTCTCCCGGACGGAACGGGAGGCCCTCGTTTCGTGCCAGAGGTTTTCTCCGGAGTCAAATTGTCGTCGCGAAGTCCCGTGGGGGTCGGATCACTCCGAAACGACAAAATCAGAAGGGTTTCCGTGAAAATGAATTGTCGTCGTGCATCAGGACGGGAAAAGGCATCAAGGGGAGGGGCCATGGCGGCGAAAGAAAGAAACTCCGGCCGTCATGGGTTCGGGGGATAGGTGGTGGGTTCGAAGCCTTCAGGCCTCGGCGTCGGACTCGCAAAGTCCGCGCGGAAGTTCCGGAGAGGGCGAAACGGCGGGAGGACTCGCCGGCATCCGAATTCGAAATTGCGCGGGCAGCGCCCCCGTACTACGGGAAAGCTCGGGGAAACGTGTTGCTCCCTCGTAGCCCAGGACCAGCCGTCGCCAAGAACACGAGTTCCCCTGGCGACACCAGCGACAATCAAACTGCGGCCGCCACGCGGCGTGAGCGGCCGACCAGGGCAACACTGTCAAACCCGTATAAGGCAATATTAGAGTCGGGGAATCAAAACGCTCAATCAAGACAAACCCGTTCCCCCTTATATCACAAGCCCGAGGCGGTTCTCGCCAACACACTTGCTCCGTTCGCCTCAGCGTGCGCCGTACGTCCGCATCGCAGTAGACGTTGTCGTCATCTGTGATGGGGAAGGTCGGTAGCGAGATGAGACGATTGGAGGTAGGCGATGAACACGGGCAAGATCTCGCGCWCCCGGTCATCCGAACCAACATCGACTCCATACAACACTCGATGTAACCTTCTCTCTCTGGGTTAGTGMGTCGGAGGAAGACGRCGGAGCCAAAGCTCTCTTCCCCTTGTGGGGGCGTCGACCGCGCGCGCGGACGCAGGCGGTTGACGTYACCGGTAGGGGGTCGAGAAGCTCAAAAAGCGATGGCTATCAGTTCAAAAAGGAAAGCGAGAGAGAGAGGGAGAGAGAGAGAGAGTTTACATCGAGAATGCGCGGGCGCGCACGAAGGGCCGCAAAAGGGAGGGGAACAACGGGATTAACACACTCATACTCCTAAGCAGACGGTCCCCCAGTTTTGTTCCTCCGTCCCCGCCCGGATAAGTACATGCACACATACATGCAGGCAATCAACAACCCTCGGCATGACATCCAATCATCCATAGACCGCGCAACAAGCTCCCATCACTCGGGGCCTCACACACACGTCATGCATAGACAAAGCAGCAGTGGAGACATAAGCGAGTCCTTCTTGTACACAAAAATTCTCAATTAGCGGCCGCCCCCAGGCGCCACCTTCAAAACTTCCCAAGACCACCGACCACCATAGCCACAAGGCCCTGCCGCGGCCGGCGTCCAATCCCCACCACTGCTCAGTACCTCCGACTRCGTCGCCCCGASACTACCGCGGGCCCACCCCGCGTCGTCACTCCGCCCGTCCTTGGGCACGTCGAGCCTGTTCGGCGCYGYGGACTTCGCGCATAGCTCGCRCAGCATTGCASCCGAGATCAAAGAGAGAGAGAGGAGAGGGTTGCGCGAAKTTATAGCGCRGRAGGCGGCGGGTTGTCAGCGCGAGGTGCGGGCAGC